GTCCCAGACGGAGCAGTGAAGGGAAACTAGAGTTGAGCGGAGCTGCATAGGAAGGTAAGGGCCAGGCTAATTCATATAGCCTTTAAAAATAAAACACTACATATCTCTTTGTTGTCTCAGTGCTCAAAGCAGTTTTAGCTTAATGACCGAATGTTTTTAAGGATTTCATCTACGTAATTGGTTTATAGAACAAAACAAACATTGAAAATACAAAGAAAGAGAAAAAGGTGGTCGGGGACATGCATATTAGACATGTTTACATGTCCCCCTCTTGCAGTATCATGAGTTGAAATGATGCTCTGCCTTGTGGCGTTTGAAATTTATCTGGCTAAGACGTTTGGGTTCCAGGTTCTTTGCTGTCCCACAGACCTGTGACATACAATATTAGTTACAGTTCCAAAGTAGAATGTGACTGATCATTTAATTATGATTTAAGCTCTGATTTGACATATGGAAATCAATAGGCTAATTGGTAAAGAAAAATCAAAACAAGTATATTTTATTTGCTTTTTGTACATTTCTAACTGTCAAGCACAAAAATCAATTTATTTAAAATAATTTCACAACTGTGCAGTGAGTGTGAGTATATTGTAGTTGTTCAATTAAAAATACTTTATCGATCACAAAAGTAAATTATATTATATAATAGTAGTTCAAATGCATGTATTTTAGTTTAGCTATGCTCCCCAGTGTAGGTAAGGACAAAGAGTGTGTAAATAAATAATGCACCATTGTGGCACATTCGTTTGAAGACATGTTTCTGCAGGTTTGTCATTCTGAGTGTCTTTCACTGGGTCAGACTCTGGCTCGTACATGTAAGGCTGGATTGACAAGTCTACTGTTGTTGACATCCTTATACACTGCTCAAAAAATAAAGGGAACACTTAAACAACGCACGCTAACTCCCAATCTTAATCAATGAAATATTCGCATTGAGTACTTTGTTCTGTACAGAGTTGAATGTGCTTCACAAAAGTTTGATTTACTTGGACTTAGCGTGCGTTGTTTAAGTGTTCCCTTTATTTTTTTGAGCAGTGTACTTTCTTGCCATCTGCCATCACTAATATGCACCTTCATATACATTCATTTTTGTACTGTACTTTACGGTGAATATATGTATATAAATAATCATATGTGTTTATGTATATGTGTATATGTGCATTGGTACATAACTATTGTTGGAGCCTATTAATTATTTAAATGACATTCTTGTTATATGTAGAATTATGTAAATTATTGTGATTTTTAAAATAAGCCTAGTGATTTTTATAGAAAAAACATTGTGATTTTTGTTTAGGACCCTCCTCCTTAGGCCAACTGTGATTAATGAGAAAATGACACCTGGGTTGGGTGAGTCTGAACCATGGTGGAAGGAGTGAGGAGTGAAACAGTTTTTGTACCACTAAATAACATTTTTTACTTGGATTTTGTTGAAAGTCAACCGGAGAATATTTCTGGTTATTTTTTGTTTTTTGAAAGTAAAGTCAAAACATTTTTGGTTGGAACTGGAAAACCTCTCCGAGTGCTTTTTTATTTGGTGCGTCGAGAACCTCCTCCTAGGCAATACTCTGACATTGTTGGACAATATCTGAATGCCAGAGCTGCCGAAACAACTATATATCACATGTGTATATTGTGGGGTTTGTTTGTTATCTTTTATTAATCTTTCATTATTCTTCTCAGCCTCTCTTGTATTAAGCTGCAGTAATGTGCAAATTTCCAGACTGTGGGATCAATAAAGTTTTATCTTATCTAATTTTATCTTAAAAACAGTTTTTAGTCAGTAGATAACTGTCTTTTTGCTATTAAACTACAAATATGGCCAAACGGGGTGGAGTCGAATGCTCAGCGACCTGGAGGGGGCGGGGTGTGTAACATCTCATTTGCATTTAAAGAGACCACACCAAAACAGCTTGCTCTGAGGCGCAACTCAGAACAGGGGTAAAGCAAAGAAAGCAAGGAGTCTGTGAAGCAACAAAAATGAGGAATTAAGACCAGAGCGCTGCAGTTTTATTTTAAATAGACCATAAGTGAATGATTTAGATGTGAAAAAGAAGGATTTAAAAGTGTGAAGAATCAGTTCTACCTGTGTTCCTGTGTGGTGATTGGTGACCTGACCCTGATTACACACACCTGTTGGGGATTTGTCTCATGATCAGCTACAGCTTTATAAGCCTCCTTCATCAGTTGATCCACG